CAACCTGGAGCAAATACAGAGGACATGAGTTTCTGGACCTACTGTTGGCAAAATCAACAAGTATTGACTTGAGAGAAGCAGGCTATAGGTTTTTGTTGGGAGGGAGTTGTTCGTTGTTTTTATGAATCAGAATGCAGTTGTTGGCACAGTTGTATTTCACCTACTATGAAATACCTAAGACGATGGCTGGTCTGTCTGACAAGGGAAACATGGTAGTGTGTAGAGAGATGAGAGTGTGTGAATGATGGGTCACCCCTTTTTCTGGTTGTACCCAGCTACATCACCCTATCTAAAATATCTTAGTAAAGTTGCTGAGTGCCTGTGGCTCAAGCCTATAATCCTACCTACTCAGGAGGCTGAGAGCTGAGAATGGAGGAAGGAAAGTTCATGAGACGATTATCCCCAATTAATCACTAAAAACCAGAAGTGGAGCTGTGATTGAAATGGTAAAGTACTAGGCTGGAGCACGAAAGCTCCGGGACAGGGCCCAGGCCCTCAGTTCAAGTTAAGACCAGCACACACACACACACACACACTCACAAAATCTTAGTGATGTCACTGACAGGTTTCATTAGCCATAATAGACTTGTTAACTGTGAACCACCATTAAGAAAATAACCCTGTCAACTTCTGATGAGCAAGAGCCTGCAAAAAAAGGTGATGTTTACATCCTTAAATTGTACATAATAGGTAGTATTTACAACTCATGGCAGCAAAACATTTACCATCACTAGCTTTACTAGCCCAAAACACAGTAAACTTGTCAGATTGCTATGTACATACAGAGTTGGGAAAAGAGAAGCCAATACAGTTAGGTTTTAGTAAGTGTTCCAGTGAGTTCTAACGTTGTTGGAAGCCTCAGCATTGAAATGCAGAGGTGTTTCAGATTGCAGTGTGGGTCCAGCTTAAAGGCTTCTGCATCCATGTTTAATGTTTGCTATTTCATCAAATCATTTATCACAAGTTGTTTCCTCAGGTTACCTGGCTTTGGAACAGATTGTAAACACTAGACTACTCAAACAATTTCCTTACTGAGATACTCAAAGTCTCCTTTTTTTCCTTTTCCAGTGAACTTGGAGAAATTCCCACATTAAAAACACTACAAGTTTTCGGAATTGTGCCAGATGATACCCTTCAACTGTTACGGGAAGCCCTTCCTCACCTACAGATTAATTGTGCCTATTTCACCACCATCGCCAGGCCTACAATTGCCAGCCAAAAGAACCAGGAGATATGGGGTATCAAGTGTCGACTGGCCCTGACAAAGCCCAGTTGTCCATGAAGTGCTATTGCAGGGTAGTACCTTGCATTTCTTTGGAATGGGAACATAGGCAGGAAGCCAATTGCTGGAACATTTGGCTGGTTTTGTTACTGGTTTTCCCTTAGCCTTCTTCCTTGGGTGTTTAAAGAGTCATTTAAAAGGGACAACTATAAAGTGTTACTTTTAGGCTTCTAGCAGTTCTATGCCCAGAAGAGCCTAAGTTATAAGGCTTTGGGAGTTTTGGAAGAGTGAGCCTTTGATTTTAAAGTAACCTTATTAAAAAGTGAAATTTGACCTGACTTGTTAAGTACCCTTGTGGTTAAGTCTATTTAGGATGAAACTTCAAATTTTCCACCAGCTAATTTTCGTAGTCTTAGTAGTAACTTTTGCCTACTTTTCAGTATTGCTTAGTACAACATGGCAAGGAAGAATAATAAACTGTATATTGTTAGTTGACAAGTGAAAAAAAGGGCTCATAAGATAGTAGTATTTGAGGCAGATCTTTTCTGGGGACTTCATTTGAAATTAATTTCACAGAAAGAGCCCCTTATAATTCACTTCAAATTCTAAAATAAAAGCAAATAAATAAATGGCCAGAAGAATAGAATTGGTAGAGGAACTGAAGGCTCAAGAGGTAGTTTTTGAAGGGAGGTCAGTCTGGTATTACCTCTTTATGTTTAAGGTGCTATGTTTCTAGAATTCCAATTAGGTAAGAAAATATCCTTGTGGTTTTTTCTAATTTTATTATCCAATTATTTTAACAGGAGTTAATTTTTAAGATGACTTGCTTTATTTTAGAAAGGTGGTATTATCCTAATCAGTATCTTATCTAGTCTTCAAGTTGGACGGAAGATTCTGAATTGATATTGTTTGCTGTTTTCTTTTAATGCTAAAATCGTTTTTGTATTATTCGAGAATCAAGTATTTTAAATTCGTTTTCACAGTAATTGCTTGAAACTACTCATCAGGTTACTGGACCTAAAATTCCTAAGAACTTCTTGTTCTTTAGGAATGCACACTAGAGGCAGGTACATGTTTTGCCCAGTTTCTGAGCATTCTGCACCTGCATAAGATTTTAAGACTCAGGTGTTGAACCATTCAGTAGGATGGATATTTTTTTTAAGAAACCTAGTAAACAGTAGCAAAAAGACCTAATTATGTTTTCTGAAAATCATAATAAAACTAGTTTTGTAAATCATTGATCTCATATGTTCTAATGCCAAAACATTTCTATTAACTTCTTTTAAATCAATTTTAATGTTTCAAACAATAGTATGAAGTGCCATTATCTGCTCAGATTTAAAGAACATTTAAAAAGTTTTACACAGAAAATTACTATGCATCTATTAGTAATTAAAATGTGCTAAATACTTGAAATTATTGTTTACAGATTAGTGACAAGTCCAGGTGGACTCCTAACTTCCAGGTGTCCTGGAAATACACAGTACCTGTACTTCTAAACTCAAGTCCAGTCATAAGCTATTTACCAACACATTGGAGTAATCTGTATTTTTATATGGTTATTTCTACTTTTATAGACATTTTAATAAAAATAAAACATGTTTTTACAAAAATAAGTACTTGACTAAAGTCCTGTCCTTTTTTTCCCTTCTCATTTTTTCTTATGCAGTGAAAATTAGAAAGTATTCAGTGGGGGTTGCCATTTGGCTCAGAGGTCTCCAAATAAGACCTTTCAAAATAGAACTCTAAGCACCATCCTGTGTACTTCATATGCCTGTAGTCAAGTGAAAATGATAGTTTATAATAATACATTTTGAGGAGGTACTAAATGTAATTACCGCCTTTTAAAGTGCTTCCAAAAATTATACTCATTTGTTTTTATCAGGTTCCTAATGTGGTCCACATATGTGTAAGGGATTTACAGATCCCTGACAGCTGTAAATCTTCACTTTTGGTTTCCCTTTTCATTCTCTGCAATCCATTTATTGGTTATTGGTCTTGTATTCCATAGTCTGGGTTTTGCTGGTCTGATTGCTAGACAATGCTTAACGTGTTAATCTGTCACCTCAGGTCATAAACTAGCAGTTAGATAGAACATCCAAAAGCTCTTGGCTGAGGGTAATTTTTGTCCCCCAGCAGAACTTGTAACATTTGAAAAGATCAATAGCATCAGTCTCCTTTCTCGTTTCACTGGTATCATTTTACTGCCTTTGTTCCCTTGATTCTTCACCCTCCTCTATCCTACTTACAAGTTCCAGAGATGGGATGGACACTAGCCAAATGCCAAACTCTTTTGTTTCTGGATAAGTTCATGGGAGTAAGTCTCTTCCATTCCTGTGAGCTGAACTTACTGTCAAACTACTATGATGGGGAAGATACTAACTGAATAATAGCACAGAGCAAGATGCAGATGAGGAAAGCCAAGCAGTCTGGGACTGGGCAAACAAAGAAACCTGTTGTCACTGCATATCCTAACCCCAGAAAAAGTGGAAAATCAACCTCTTCTCTTACCATTCTCTCCTCCCCATCTAAGTTACACATCCCCAGAAGTCAACGAAGAGACAAACTCCCTCCTTCCCAAGATACAGGTCAGGTCTAGACCAAACTTATTTAGATTCTGTTTCACTTTAATAATTGAGTTTTTCTATTTCACTGAATCCAAATATTAAAATGCTGGTTAATTTTGTATTTCCAAAAATGAATAGCAAAGTATCTTTATAATTTTTAGAATTAAAAAGATCCAAATTAACAAAATATTTTCTATTTATGTTTTGTTTCTTGTCTAGGCAGTTGTTTCCTTAATTGCTTAAAACTAGTAACATGAAAATGTGCTAAACTTAATCATCTTTCTGATTTAGGACCTTTAGACCCTTATAAGTATGTTTAAAATTTAAAAAAACACACTGCCTTGGAAAAATTAATTGAACATTTTCTGCTGTTTTGAGATAGGATCTCATTACATAGCCTAGACTGCTCTCAAACTCAAGGGCTAGGAGTATAGTGAATTCATACTCTTCAGTTCAGCAGTACATATGCTCTTATCCTTACCACTGTTGTGTCTATATTTCATTATATGATGTTATTCTTGGGATACTTCGTACAACTGTCTTGTTATCTCTGAGGATGGAGATAAATACGTATACTTCATATACACACATGTATACATATATGTATGTGCATAGAACAGTGAAGTTCTAAATTTGCATCAACATCTCAGCTGAGCACTATGTATCCTTCAGTTTGTATTTAACACATTCAATAAAGTAAATATTTTACAAGTGCTGTCAAAGATTAAAAATGGAATCAATATAATTTGATAATACATTTAGAAAAACAGGAAATATGATTAAATGTATTGAATCCACAAATATATTTAATATATAACATCAAAGATATTAAACCAGTATTACCTGGAAACATTTTCAGATAAATACTTTTGATCTTTGATAAAATAACAAATCATCAGTCAATGTCAAATATTATCAGTGACTGGCTGCTCATGGGTCATACTTGACATCCTTGCTATTTAGGAGGCTGAGATCAGAAGGTTGAGTTTAGGCCAGCCCAGTCAGAAAAGGCCTTATCTCTAGCAAAAAAAAAAAAATGTTGGAGACACCAGCCAAGCAAACATGAAGGCTTGAGTTCAAACTCCAGTACATACAATGATATCTATAGGGAACAACACATAAATAACCATGGGGAAAAGAATTTCTGAGACACGCATTTCTTTAAAAAAAATGATTATCATACAACGATCCCATAAGAGTTAAGGAAATAAAAATATGTAGTTAAAAAAAGCAATTGTTTAATTTTATTCACAGTTGTCATTGAAAGGTTAACTCATCCATAAAAGACATTTTTGCTATTGTAACATCCTTTTTGTCTCATCTCTTACAAACAAATCTATACCAGGGAGCAGAAGTTATGTCACAAATAGAGCGTAAGTATTTGTAATACCTTTAAGAATATGGCTTATAACCAATTTCACACAGCAAGCTACCTATTAATAACTTACATATTAACAGATCTATGGTAGCATATGGACAGATTTCCTTGAGATACTGGGATAGTGTGTAATTTAACTTTTTCACAAAATGATATTATACATCATTTTTTCTAAATCAAGCTACAAATTAAATCCAACCCCGGAAGAAACACTAATTTTTATTTCCATCTAATGTATAAAAAATTATTTGTTCTGTCTAATGTTAATACTTGTAAGATTCTTCTGGGCAATCTTACATGTATTATTTTTCAAAAACTACAGCAGAAATTAGATCCAGCCCTAGGAAAACACTAATTTTTATTTTCATTTCATGCATCATGTAAATTATTTGCTTTAAGGGTCTATGCAAGTACTTAAGAAAAACATTCTTCCAGATATCCATCAAAATCTAGAATACCTTTTCAAATTAATATTTTTTAAATAGTGGTAAGAGAAACATGTTAATGATAAAAAAAACTAAGAACACTCAATTTGACTAAGCATCCTAGCATCACAAAATTTGATTTCTGAGCTCTTTGGCTCACATTCTATTAGGATAGTGTCATTCATTGGTGTACCGAGCACCTGACACAGTGATGTATGGCACAGGGTGAGTGTTCAATAAATACTTGTCATGAAAACTAAAACACTCATCAGCAAGTGAATAAACTGAATAAATGGCATAAAAATACCATTTCATTACTCAGAAATAGAAACTTTTCCTGAAAACTCTATTTACTTATTGTAAGTCAAGAATTAAATAAAAATAATATCCTCCAAAATCAAAGTTCTCATAATGGAAAAAGAAAAAAAGACAAGCCATGACATTTTATCCTATAAAGCTACTGTGCAAATTTTGGAATATGAGAACTACATTACTGAATAAATCAATTCCAAAATTAATGTTTCATGCATTCCCTAAGAATCCATTCTTTTTGACAGTACTCCTAATAGTAGTGAGAATACTTCTTAAAGATTTTACCACATTCCTAATAGAAAACATTTCATCAATTCATCCTTTTAGTACCTAAATCAATGTTACAGTTGCAAAGATGGAAGGGGCCTCTTAACTCAAGTAATTTCTCAAAAAATTGTTCTAAAATAGCTAAGGGATAATACATTTATAAAAGCATCATGATTTGACTGTATTTCATACAGCGTTATTGAAATTAGCCAGAATCAAAGTCTTCATCTATAAATAATTTCAAAAATGATTAAAATGTTTTAATCAATAGTCATCATTATGTCCTGGTATTAGAAAATTTTAGCACATACAAAAACATTTTCCTACTTTAATTAGGTCAATGTCAGAATTTATCAAAACTTGTCATGATAATCAAAAACTTTAAAAACTTTACTTTTAGGTATTATAAAAAATAATGCACTAATCAAATGATAGGTATGTCCCATTCCACTGTCTAGGAAGACAAAAACACTCTTATAGTTAAATCTCAAGTCCTAAACATTTAATCCTTTATTTAAACTCACCTCTCAAAATTTAAAGATATCAATATTCTTGGTTACCAATTACAAATAATACAGAATTTCTCTGACATCAATTCCACTCCATTTAGTCCATCCCATGTTCTCACACAATGAACATCTTTCATCTATCAGAATCCAACAAAAGAGTAATGAAAATCCCACCTTCTTCATCGCTGTGAGCCCAGAGGGCAACCAGTCTCAATAATAAAATAATGTAGGCTTAATGACTGGCCTCACGACTATTTCTGCAGTAAAAATCAGTTTCCAATAATCCAAGTTTGTCACTTGAGGAAATCTTTCACTGTTCTAGAAGTACAGTTCGAAGCTCATCTTCTTTGTTGATCATCATGGAAGCAATTGCTCCATCATTGAACTCAAAAGAAGTTCCTCCATCCACAACCATGCAGGCATCCCAACAACGAGAACGAACACAAACCCTAAGCAGAGGAAAATGTCTCATTAAATATCAGCAGTTTTCACCCCAAATGTTAGTATCTAAAAAATTAGATCATTTAATGGCTTTAATAGCCAAGTTGCTTTTTGTTATGAATTAGTGACTAAATAATATGGATGTGTTCTTAAAGACTCAAAATTTAAATATCCAGGCTATCATCATCCAATCATATATTGTCAGTGAACAAGTAGAGACATGATAGAATTCAAAGGCTATTTTCATGTAATTGTTGGTTTTTTTTACCATTATAAGTATGCCAAGTACTGATCAAAGGGTTATTTTCATGTCAAGTTTTTACTTAAGGATTAGGTATGTATAGAGTAAGCACAAAGTATCAATGTAAGTTCAACAAACTGTTCTGAGTGATTGCTCCTGCTTGCTCCTTCTGAAGCACACCTGCCATACTAATTTTTAACATCTTAGAATAACTGTATCTACTCTTAAACTTCATACAAATAGGGTTTAGCTTTGCAAGAAGGTATATAGGATAATACAGTTACAGTCTTTATTTTCATTCCCCAGATGGCCTATTATATATCCCCTTTCGTAAAGTGTCTAAGACTTTTGGCTTTTATTATGTCGATTGTCTTTTTATTGACTTGAAAGATTTTATTTTTTAATTAGCATCTCACTATGTAGTCCAGGCTGACATTCATCTTTCATTCCTCTTACCTCAGCCTCTTTGAGTGCCTAAATTATAGGTGTGCACCACTACAACTGGCTTGCAGGAATTTTTATATACAAGAATCCCTCCAAAATGCTTGGTATCAGTAATGTCTTAGACGTCAGATTTTAGAATATTTACATATAAGTAATAAGGTATTGTGGGGGATGGAACAATCTAAACCCAAAATTAATATGCTATATATCATTAGATATATAGCCTGAAAGTAACTTCATAGAGTATTTCCTCTGTACCTACATATTGATTGTGACCTATCATATGCATTTACATGTCAAATTTTACCCTTCTGGCATGATACCCATACTCAAATACTTGGGGATACTATAAGCATTACAGATTTCATCCAACCTCGCTTATCTCAACTATCTCTCACAGCATCTTTCTTGCTTTGTATCTTGTCTTTTTGTTGTCTTAACATTTTTTTTATTACTGGACGTTCTTGATTCTACCAATCTTCTGTTGTTCCTGTTTTAAACATGTTTTGTTTTGTTTTTTTAAAAAAACGTCTTTTCAACCACCCAACCATGAAGCCTTTCTATTTCACTTATTAGCAAAAGTTTAAATGTAAGATATACGTGTCTTAGAAGGAGTCTTTGTAGTCTTAGTATACATTTATTAATTAATTAAAACTCAAGTAAATTTTAGATAGGTCTCTTTTTAGTGTCTTAACTGGAAAAAAATCAAATGTATACTTATTTTTTTTAAAAAAAATCAATCCTACAGATAGCATTTAATAAGTAAATTATTCTTTGCTACAAGATACAGGAAATGTTCTCATTATTTTGTAAATTTTCTTCTTAGTTTGGAAAGTTGGCCAGCCTTTAAATAAGAAGTCATTTTCAAAGCAAAAGCTGAAGCAAATTAATTCACTTAGAGGGAGAACAGGCTGCTTTCAGGGAAAAGCTGAGAGAAGTAAACCCTACTCTAACTTAGCTTTCATATGAACATCCTGCATTTAGTCTACATTTATGACAAAGAATTTGTCATATGAACATCCTGCATTTAGTCTACATTTATGACAAAGAATTTGTCATATGAACATCCTGCATTTAGTCTACATTTATGACAAAGAATTTGCTTTCTAATCAATAATTTGCTTTAACAGTAATTAATCTGTTCTTACTGTCACAGGTCCTACTGTTGCAACCAGATTCAGTTTAAATGAATGCATCTAAGCCAGGTGCTGGTAGTTCACGCCTGTAATCCTAGTCAGGAAGCTGAGATCTGAGGATTACAGTTCAAAGACAGCCTGGGCAGGAATGTCCGTGAGACTCAATCTACTCAAAAGAAAAGCCGCAAGTGGCACTATGGCTCAAGTGGAAGAGCACTAGCCTTCAGCACAAAGAAGCTCAGGGACAGGGGCCCAGGCCCAAGATTTCAAGCCCTAAGACCAGAAGAAAAAAAAATGCATCTAGTGAAACTAAATAAGTACTCTTAAACCAAATATGTTCCAGCACTCAGTACGCTGAGGCAGGAGGGCTATGAGTTCCACATGCCAGCCTACGCTGCATAGAAAATTCACCTCAACAGCAGTAAAGCTACATAGTAAAAATGTGTCTGTTTTTTAGATTGAAAATTTAAAAAAAAAAAAAAAAAAGCTTGACTAGTAGGACATATCTGTAATCCCAGCATTCAGGAAGTTGAGGCAGGAGGATCCCAAATTCAAGACCAGCCTGGCTACACAGAGTGTAGCCAGCTAGACTACAGAGTGTTCACAGCTAGACTACAGAGTGAGACCCTATCACGAAATCCAGAGCTGAATAAGCTAACAAGTGTGGCTTATACTGAGTGAAAGAAATTAAAAGCAGTGACAAGTTAGTCCCAGATGCTTACTTGGAAGAGAAACAACGCTGACGACTACTTGAGAAAACTCTGTTTGCTATTGGTTCTCGAATACTGAAAAGTATTTTTGGTTCTTCTGGACTGTAGAGCAGTGATTCATTATATTCATTTGTTACTGTAAGGAAAAAATAGTAATATTGGTACATTCAATATCTCAGAAATACAAATTAAAGACTAACTGCTACCTCCATCATAAAAGCAATCTGTTGCAAAGATCTGCTTGAGAGCGGGTTTCCTGGAACTCTCCATACATAGTCCATTAAAAAAAAGTCTTACAAATGAGTATCAGGTTCCACTATTAGCCCACAAAAGCATACATCACCCACAATAGAGCAAAGTACAGTTAGGAAAAGGGGTCAAGGGAGCTTATTATGAAGATGGTCATTAAAAACTACAAGAGCAAGTTAGACAAACAAAAACAGAACTAGAGCTGCCACAGTGTCAAGTGCTTTCCAGAGTATCATGGAAGTGTTCACAAATAGTCTTAATGCAAATGAAGTCTCAAACAGTGTCAGGTAAAATGCTTTATCTCTTGAGTCCATCATTACTCAAGATATTTAGAAATCTTCTCTCAACCAACAGGCATGAACTTTGACATACAAATTATCTTTAACAAAAATTAGTTAAAGACAATTGTGTAAGCTGGACAGGACATGTGCCTGTAGTCCAGCTATTCAGCCTAAGGCAGAAAAAAATGACATGAGCCTAAAAGTTTGAGCCCAGCATAGTAAACAAAATGAGGTATGTTCTCTTTAAAAATAAGCGGCAGGAACAGTGGCTGTACCTGTAATTCCAGGTAGTTGGTGGCAGAGCCTGGAATGATTACAGTTTTAAGGCCAGCACTAATAAAAATATAGCAAGACCTCATCTCAATCAACAAGTTGGATGTGGTGGTATGTGAACTGTGATACTTACTACCCATATATGAGGCTAAGAAAGTAGATTGCAGTCCAAGGATGGCCTGGGAAAATTAGCTCAGGTGGTAGAGTACTGATCTAGCAAGCATGGCCCTGAGTTTAAACCATACCAATGAATGAAGAGATGGATGAATGATGAAAAATATTAAAAATTAAATTTTTAAAAAATGACAATTGTACAAAGAAATTCAAAGGTTTAGTTGAGCATCACATGTTTTTAATAACAAGTCTCAGATAATCTGCCATATTACAAAGTATCATTTGAATTATAGATGCTCTGTTTTATGAACTCATGACAAGTTGAAAATATTGTAAGCTGAAAATGTTCCTAATTCACCTAAGTTACTAAACATTATAGCAACACAGAATACAAGAGAGTATCTGTGTTTATGGTTTTAACCTGTGGCTGGCTTAACCTGTGGCTTACGTACTGCCCGGGTCGTGAGAGAGCACTGTGATGTCATTAGCCCAGAAAAAAGACAGTCAAAATCTTACCAGAAGCATATCACTTTTGTACCATCATAAAGTTGTCTTTTTAAAAAATCTAACTTATTTGCAAATATGAAACTTTGCCTCCTTGGGGTATTTTATAAAAAAATATGCTAGCTCTGAAAGACAACTTCAAAGGAGTTTTTTTCTAGAAATGTCTATAATAGTAATTATGCCATTGGCTTGCACTATTGCTTCTGAAAATAGCCAAAGCATCAAGACAGTATATTCATTACTGTATGTTTCTTAAGATATAAGCCTATTTGTATGATACTAAGAGTTGATTATATAAAGCAGATTTGATACATTTGTAAAAGTCAATCACTATTCTTTATTATTATTATTATTTCTTTTTAGTGCCAGGACTGGCACAGGAACGCAGGAACTCAGAGCCTTGCATTATCCCTTAGCTTTTTCTTTTTTTTGTTTTTTTTGGTCGGTCGTGGGGCCTGAATTCTGGGCTTGGGTGCTGTCCCTGAGCATTTCAGCACTCTACCACTCGAGCCATAGCGCCACTTCCGGCTTTTTTCTTTTTGTTTATGTTGAGCTGAGGAATGGAACCCAGGGCCTCATGCATGCAAGGCAAGCGCTCTACTGAGCCACCTTCCCAGCCCCTCCCTTAGCTGTTTCATTCAAGGCTGGTGCTCTACCAGTTAAGCATGCCTCCAGTTCCCAATCAGTATATCCTTTTAACATATCTAACATTATATGTATCAGTTACCTTATATGTATCATGTTTGCCTTTTTAATTGATATATATATACATATATACACATGTTTATGAAGTACAAAGTAATATTTTAATCATCATATATTAGACAATAATCACCTTGGTGTAATAGCATATCTACCATCTTAAACCTTTTTCTTTTTCCTTTTTTAATTGACAGTACTGGAGTTTGAACTCAGGATGTCTAGTTCCCTAAGCAGGCCCTTTACCACTTAAGCTACTAGCCCTTGTTGCTCTGGTTATTTTTGAGATAGGGTCTCACTTTTCTTGCCTGCACCAGCCTGTATTGCAGTTTTCCTCTATGCTTCCTACATAGCAAGGATAGCAAGCATGTATGTGGCCAGCTTTTTCTGTTGAGATGAGGGAGAGTGTCATGAATTATTTGTCTGGGCTGGCCTCAAACCGTGATCTTTTCAGTCTCAGCGTCCTAAGTAACTAGAATGGTAGGTATCAGTCACTATGCCTGGAAACTTAACCATTTCCTATGGTTATGTTTTTTAAGTGAATTTATATAATAAAGAACTGATTATTGCATGGGCCTAATTTTCCTTTTTGATACAATGTAATGCTAATACTAATAATCCAAGATTAATATAACCTTCATCTCAAATTAAAAGAAGAATATCTTAGAAAGCTAAAATGATAAAAGTGAAACCCCAGGTAAGCAGAGACATACTACAATGGCATGCCTTTCTTATCTTCTTTGCAAAATAGCGATTTTTGCAACACAGTCCTATTTCTACGGAAATGTTTAAAGTTATGGATGGATTATAATCCATATCAAAATTCACAGTATGACTTCAGCTTTGCTCTTTATATTGCTTACAGTTCAAAACATACAGTATCAAGAACATGTATATGTCCAAAAAAATTATTTGCTAAACAACTATAATTGTCAAATTAATATAGAAATAAATTAAACTGTTAATAATTAATATCATTAGTCACTAACCTTTCTCTACCAATTCTTTGTTCAATGGAAGATTCAGATTTCCTTGTCGCTTTGCTATTAAAGAGAAAAGGGAGAAATATCTCCATTAAATATTTTGCTTTGTATAAGTTAATATACAATAACAACTATACATTATATATTACTCACCAATATTTAAAACATCTTCCACAGCCTGAGTTGCAACCCTATTGATATTGAAAGACCTAAAAAAAAAAAACACATACACAATTTGTTCTTGTTTTAATTCTAAAAACATGCTAAAAATGAAAAATAATCTAAACAGATAAATAGAAAGTAAGAAATTAAGACAGCTACAAATAAATACTGTAATCTGATTAATAACACAGTGGCATGAGTAAGGGCAAAGCACAACCTCCTATACTGTTATGAATCTAGAAACTATACTTGGAAAACAATCATATACTAGCAAATATTAAAATGAATATATTCTCAACCTAGCAATTTATCTTAAAACATACCACTTCCACATAAAATATACAAAGATATAAACAAGAACCTTTATGGAAGCACTGCTGGTAACTTCAGAACAATTCAAATGTAGCCATAGCAGGCTGGTAATTAAAATATAGCTGGGCATGGGTGGCTCACACCTGTAATCCTAGCTACTCAGGAGGCTAAGATCTGAGGCTCCAGGTTCAAAGACAGCTCAGGAAGGAAAATCCATGAGACACTTATCTCCAGTAAACCTCTCAGAAAAAGCCAGAAGTGGCACTATAGCTCAAGAGATAGAATGCTAGCCTTGAGTAAAAGAGGCTCAGGGATAGCATAGAGGGCCGGAGTTCAAGCCCCAGGACTGGCAATAAATGAATGAATAAATAAATAAATAAATAAAATATAACTATATATACTATGTATCTAACCATTATAAATGTTTATTATATATTATAAATATAACTATTATACATATTATATATGGCTATTATACACTATGTGTATATAACTATATAGATATATCACTATATAACTATATATCACATATGTAATTATATTATGGTGATATATAATATATAACCAAAATGTTAACCTAAAAACAAAAACACATTAATACTACAGATAGGAAATGAAAGGAACACCACTTTTCACTGCCTTTTTAATATATACATTTCTTTAAATTAAAAAAAGTTTCCTTGAAGGTGAAAAATGTAGATGTCTGATACCTCATTCAACTACCTACGAACATTATCAAACTCTAGATTCTTTTCTAGTATTTCAGTTATCCTAAGAAAAGGTTTAAAAAACAAAAACACAGAATGTGTTTTGTTCTCATAAAGTTCACAGTGGGCACTCCTCACTGGGAGGTGGCTCTCCTCCATGTTACATGTTCAGAGAGTTAGGCTCCTCCCATCTTATAGGCCTTCTGTCTTAAACAGAGCTTGTAAGGCTGCTGTGCTCATCTGCATCAAGCTGCAGGATGAAAGACCATGGAGAGTACCCATGGGAGACTCGTGAGCCAGTCTTGGAAGGGGTGACCACCATTCCATTCGCATCCCTTCAGCTAGAATTCAATCACATGGTTCTAACATAAGAGGTACTAGAAAATAAAGCCCAACCTGTGGCCAGGGAAAAATGTGCTTAGACAAATCCCGTCTTCACATTTCTAAAAATTGTTCCACAGTAACAGAATATGGGGTTTCACCACATAGCAAGTGTCTCTGAACTGTCTCATTATTTCTATCTTCTGCCACTGTGAAACAAGGTTTTGCTCCATAAACTGAGAGGTAAGATTAGTACAAAGAAGAAACAAGAAGGGCCTGGTTCAATAACCACTGCTGCGGGTAATGAGTACATGGGAGTCAGTACACTGCTTTGTCTGCTCCTAGAAGTTAAATTTTTTCTACTGTAAAAACCTAAAGAAGCCATGCTGAAAAGGGAGGAAATAAAAGTAAATGAACACAGTCAATATCAGTTTGGGGATTTTTGTTTTTCTGAATTCAGGGTTTTGATACATAGTCCAGTCTGGTCTTGAACTTGTCATCTTCCTGCCTCAGCCTCTAAAATGCTGAAATTATAGGTGTGGACCAACATATGCAAATAAAAATACGTCCATAGCAAAGTTTTTGCTATTTTTGTGTGAGCACGTACTCATTTAAGAAAAACATATTAGTGGATAGATATTAGGTATTATGTTCTGCACACCAAAAATTAAGCTTGAAAAATATACACTAGTCATAACTTCAAGTTGCTCAAAACTAGTAGGTATCTGCATATTGATAGTTAATAACAGGATGTGTGCTATAATAATATAAGGAAAAATGTTCTGAGGAAAGACAAAAGGAGGGTTAGTTTATTGTGTTTATGAAAAAACTGAATGTTAATGACTTTCTAAAGAAAACAACATTTGAAAACTGTTCAGTTTAGTGGGTAGAAAGTATAAAGTGTTCAGACATTCAATGCAGGAAGAAGTTACATTGAAAAAAAAAAAACAAACAAAAAGCTAGGAGAGACCAGGGATGTGCTTAGAATTGTAAGTAGCCAGTGGTGTTGCTAGAGTGCTGATGGGTAGGGTAAGGGTAGGGAAGGCATAATGCCAGTAAGATACCCACAGCCATAGTTACAGGGCTTTGCATGGTAGACAAAGCTAAACGATCACAGTCAGCGGTCAATGAAAGTTTTAAGGCAGAGGACAGACATTGTCAGATTTATATATACTTTAAGAAGTATTACTCCATTGGCATGACAAATGGATGACAACCAGAATAAAAAGTGAGGCACAAAAAAATTCTAAATATTTAGGGCCTGGACCAAAGCAATAGCAGTAGAAACTCAGAAAGATGGACAAGGAATTGAGAACAATGCACAGAGTTGAGGGACTGAGTTATATGGAAGGAAAATGAAACGTGATGATTGAAAGGTAAGAACAAGGTTTTGAACAATTGTGTTTTCCCTCTAAAACTTCGAGTAAACAGTGGCAGTGTTAAACAGTTTAGGGAACACAAAAAACAAACAAAAATACAGTAAATTGAGTTTCAAATGTTTGAATATGATATGCTGTTAATATCCTACTTAGTAGGTAACTTTAGAATGAGTGAGCACTCAGGAAAAAAGACAACTGCAGATCCATCTGGTAGGCATCTGCATTAGATGTCTGTCCTGTGAATCAGAAGAGATTACGTTTACGTTCAGGGAGGCTACAAGGTATTGTACACAGGATGCCTGCTTGTCTCCATGTGGACATTTAACATGCAAACATCTAATCTCTTTTTTGTATGGTACCTTATACTTTTTATTTCGTTACTATTTAAAATATCCCTGTCTGCCTTTCTTTCTTTCTTTCTTTTTTGGGACTTGCTTGCTCAAAGTTGAAGCTCTACAACTTAAATCACAGCTCTACTTCTGCTTTCTGCTGATTAATTGGAAATAAGAGTCTTTTGGATTTGTCTGCCCAGGATGGCTTCAAACCAAGATCCTCAGATCTCATTCTCTTGAGTAGCTAGGATTACAGGCATGAGCCGCCAGTACCCCACTTAAAAATATTCTTAAATTTTAAAGTATATAATCCTCCAAGACACTTCTTTCCTTTTATTTCTTCATAAATCTAGTGCAATTGGTTCAATAATGATGAAATAATGTTGACTGAGGCAGAACCTAAGCCGCCAATGTAACATCAGAGTGTGGATGCATGCATGAGTATTAGGTATCAAATAGACTGTTATTTAAACTACTTCACAAACTTTAATAAGCACCAACCCAAGTAACTCACCAGGCCTTTGATCCTGTGCCAGTACACAAATTGAGCCCTGAACTCTTCTGTTTTTCCCATGGTCCATCATCAAGTGAAATTTCATAGTAGGATGCCCTATAATTGAGAATATAAAACTCTTATTTGCTAAGCTTATGGTTCATAGTAAATAAAAGTCTTTTTGCAGCAGATTAAATCTAAGTAAGTCAACTTGACCAAGAAATATCTAACTTAGTAGGCACACATATCATGGTGCTATTCTAATGCTGATTAAGTGAAAAAGGAAGAAATATACATTCATGTTTCTGCATGCCTTTTTTGATCTATATGTTCCTTTCTATCTGTACTGGAGTATTTCAAATGTTAACTTGTATATCCTTGACTATTCTCTACTTCAGCTTCATTTCAGAATTCAAAAGGAGAAATAACATAATTAGATTAGTTTTATGGTGGGTAGTCCTTCATATATCTAAATCTATAATTCTTTGTAACTAATAGTTTCTTCTAAACTCTTTTTTTAAGTGATAAACTAATCTTTTGAATTGATATTAATAGCTATAAAGTTGTAAAGAATACTTCACAAACATGAAATCAAATGGATTTTCTGACACTAGCAAAAAAAGATATTATTCTTTAACTCAATGCTTGTAATAAACTATTCAAAGAAGTCTGAAATATGTAAATCTACTTTGTTAATTGTTACTTTACCTTCTTTGTAAAATGGTGTCATTGATCAACACTGGATTTTTTTATCCAGCATATAAAAGGTAACAGTAAAATTTTATTAAAATACAGGTTTTCAAAACAATGATAATTACTTAACATGCTTGTAAACCTTAACAGTTTGTGGATAATTTATCCTTTTATTCTGGCCCATTTTTCTCTTGAAAGCTCTTAATTTGTCAAGGATTTTTACATGATAAACTCCTATTCACATTCTTACAAAAATAAAAGATAGCCTGCCTGATATTCACATTTAATCTATTTCACAGCTTACTAATAGCTTCCTGGGAAATGCATGCGGAGAACCTATCATATACAGACACAGAAATGGTTACTACTCTGCCAAAATCAAGCAAAAAAATAGATTAAAGTTGTGGGGGTAAGGAGAAAACAGAGTAGAAAAGAAGAAAAGTATAATCAAGTGAGAGATATTGAGCCCAAAACTATGAGAAAATTTAGTGTTAATCTCACATGCAGGTTTATTGAGATTAGTCAATTTACAGAATTTTATTTGGGGAAATTATTTTTTAAGGCAGCAATAAAACTCACAGTCCCTTTAGAGTGGGTATACTTCTTCTTAAATTGTCCACTGCTACAGCCCAAGAATAAGACATTCTAGGTTAGAATAAGAGAAAAGAAAAAAATGGGCTTTTAAAAATGTTCTTAAATCTAAGAACATTGTAAGTGAGGACTAGTATTGCTGCGCTTCATATTTTTTTGAGGAAAGCACTTAAGTTTTTGGAGCATAGTGAAGCCTCACTATACAGTTTAGAATCAGAAATGATAAGCTTTATACAGTTCTGGTGCAACCAAATCAGATGACCTGGGGAAGTTATCTGAACCTTCCAAACACCAATCATTTCACTACTTTTCTCACAGGCTTACTCATTTGCAATAACCTGAGATACACAGGCACCAATAAATGTTCTCTTTCCTTTCTGCCTAGGATCTTATATCATAATGTCTTTAAAAAATAACTGACTACTTCCCACATAGTTATATTCAATAGCACCAGAAGCCAACCTATTGCTGGCCATATCTTGGTAAAGACACACTGTGAGACATCAAAGAACAAAAAAGGAAGCAGTATCAGGTATCAATCTCTGGGACCTCAATGGCTCCCCAAAATCTATCCTAGTTTTCCTCTTTTTATGAGTTATTTAATCTTTTAGTACATACAAAGTATAAAGCAATGATAGTAGAAGCTCTCAGCAGTCACAATACCACCCTTGTGATAGGTAAACAGAGTAAAAGAAACCATAAAACGGCTTGCCTAGGATAAACATGAACTCAAAGGGAATTTACTTTTGTCATCTCTTTAATGAACTTTCTCCAAACTCATTTAAAGTTGTTGCTCTCTTGTCTGTCTTATGTCACTGGCAGTAATTATTAGACTCTGTCTCTAATTGGTTACATTTTCTCCTCTTCTAATACTTAATAGAACCAATTATTGCTTCAAACTTGATATGCAATAAAACAAAAATGTTTACATATAGCAAAGAAGCCTTACTATGTTAAATATATTTTTCAACAGTAATGTATGTATGAGTTGCCTTTAAAGATTTTACTTCTTTGAGGAACATTTAGTTTTAACCCGTTTAAATTATGTATTCCTCTCCAAAATGTGTATCTTACTCATCTTTGCATTTCTAGGGATTCACATTTGTATATAATAGGCACACAATATATTTTACTGAATGAATTTAATATTACATATTTGTTTACTATTAGCTGGTAGTTAAAATGTGAATTATCTTTCAATTATGACAACTTTTTCTCATACAAAGTCCTTATAAAAAAGCCAGGCATTGGTTACACACACCTGTAATCCTAGCTACTCAAGAGGCTGAGTCCTGAGGATTGTGATTCAAAGCCAGCCTGGGCAAGAAAGTCTGTGAGACTCTTATCTCCAATAATCCACCCGAAAACTGGAAGTGATGCTGTGGCTCTAAGTGGTAGAGCACTAGCCTTGAGCAAAAGAGCTCAGGGACAGCACCCAGGCCCTAAGTTCAAGCCCTACAACTGACAAAAAGAAAAAAAGAAACAGAAACAGAAACAGATGCAACAAACAGAATTATTAAAAGTTTCACAAATTCAAAAACCTAGGGAATCATCTACATGGTTTACAAAGAGCTACAGAGTTCTAGTAGTAGCAGGAAAGTGGGACATAAAACTTAACTCCGAGCTTCTACCTCTACTTTAATTATAATGTAAAGTAGAGGTTCTAAAGCACTACAAAGAATTAAACTAACTTTACCTTATTTTAGTCATTTCATACCTAGTAATTAAATCACAAACAGTTTTCCAAGTCAGGTATAGCACTAACTCATGCTTGCAATCTTAGCTACTCAAGAGGCTGAGATCTGAAGGGCTGTGGTATGAGGCCAGCCAGGGCAGAAGAGTTCACTAGACTCCATCCCCAAAAACCAGCAAAAGGCTTTTTTGTGTGGCTCAAATGGTAGAATGCCAGCCAAGCAAGCATAAGGACCTGACATCAAACTCCCTTAAGAAAAAAAAAATCGTAGGGTTTCACAAAGTGTTTTTATTACAGAACATTCTTTTCCCTTAATAAGTATTAGCATGTATGCTAGCTTAGAAAATATTGCATTAAATAATATCTGCTAATTATACATTAAGAATATATACTTAAGAATACTAAATCCCATACACAAGACTTGTAGACTTTAAAAAAAAAAGTACCTGGATGATAGACTCTCCCCAATGAAGACTTCATTTAGTGCTCTCACGGGCAAAAGTTGGGGTCCTGAAGCCTCAGACCCTGCAGTAATAGGGGAGGGGGAAATCCAAGACAGCTCCTTGAATTTTGGAAATATTACAATAAAAACTTATTTGACATTAAAGCTTTTATTTTTAATCATATTCCTTAATATAGTTAACATACAAATATCCCTTAACATGCCAACAATATAGCCTTAAAAGTCACCTAGCCTTATCCCATGACACTTGAATCTTTACAAAATAAAACTTAATTCTTTTTGAAACCAATTTTTTCAAGAGTGATACAACAAATGTAAACAATTCACAATATCCTTATCACTATCAACTTAGTTTCTCTGGGAAAGATTCAAAAGTGGACCTGGTCAGTTGCTTCTGAAAAAGTACAATCCTGGTATTAGGCAGCAAATGACTTGCATGGCTCATGTTAGGAACCAACTTAGATACGTTGAAGGATTAAGATTTTTTTCTCAATAGAGAGTTTATAATGTTTTAGCCATAATAGTGTGATAGAAATGGTCACATTTCCCTTCAATATTTATAACATATGCAACCTTTTCTTTTTATAATCTATAAGATATATATACAGTATAAGTACTTTTCCTTGATGAGTTAAAATCATTTTTACTAAGGCCAGGAATAACATAAGGATTTCCATTCTCCCCATTCCTCAATGGCACCAGTAGCTGATGTATTGCATTCAAATGTCTCCAGTAAGCAAATATTACATGGAAGTTCACTTGTCTGCTTCTTCCACAACTTTTCCTACATCAATATTTAAAAGTCCATCTCACTTGGGACAGGCAGCATATTCATACCCTTATGAATATATACTCTCCATGCCAGGATTGATGGGTAGATTCCCCCCTTATTTTTTCATTGGCCTACTAATTATTCAAGAGTGTTATTTCTTCCCAGTATCTGCATATGTTCTGAGATTTTTTTTTTACTATTGTGGTTAAACAGAATACATAATATTCCTATGATTTCCTACAATATTTTGAAGACTATAGTCCTTACATTAAGATCTTTTGATATATTTGGAGTTGTATTTTTGCACATCAAAAGAAACCATTATCAGAACCAAAAAACAACTCACAGAATTGGAGAAAATCCTTACCAGTGCTATAATAGATGAAGGATTAATTCCCATCATATACAAACAGCTCAAAATGAAGTAGAAGTGTGGCTCAAGTGATACAGTCCCAACCACGAGTAAAAAAGCCAAGCAAGAGTACAAGGCCCATAGCCGGGTGCTGATGGCTGATGGCTCACGCCTGTAATCCTAGAGATTCAGGAAGCTGAGATCTGAGGATGGCAGTTCAAAGCCAGCCCGGGCAGGAAAGTCCATGAAACTCTTATCTCCAATAAACCACCAGAAAACAGGAAATGGCTATAGCTCAAGTGGTAGAGAGCTAGCCTTGAGCTGAAGAGCTGAGGACAGCGCTCAGGCCCAAAGTTCAAGCCCATGACTGAAAAAAAAAAAAAAAAAAGGAGTACAAGGCCCTGAGCTCAAGCCCCAATACTGGCATATACAAAAACATCAAACTGAAAAAAACAAATAACCTAATAAATGAACAAACTGAACAGTTTCAGAAAAAGAATGAAAAGGCTAACAAGTACATCAAGAAATGTTCAACATCCTTATCCATAAAGGAAATGTAAATCAAAACTGCACAATGATTCCATCTCATCCCTGTCAAAATGGTCATCATCAAAACAATAACAAATGCTGATGAGGGAGTTGGGAAAAGGAATCCTTGTATGTCAGTGGGAATAAAAATCATTACAGCTTCTATGGAAATCAGTATGGTGGCTACTCAAAAAAAACTAAAAGTCATCTCACCTAATGACTTCAGCATACCACCCTCACACATATATCCAAAAGAGAACAAATCAGTGACACCTATGTTTAATGCAGCTGTGTTCACAACAGCTTCACTGTAGAATCAGTCACAGTACAGCCAACAACTGAAGAATGATGGATAAAGAAAATATGGTACTGTATATACCAATTACTCAGTCACAAAGAAAAATTAACATATATTCCATGAATGAAAATGGGCAGATCTGAAGATCATCACATTGAATGAAAATATGCTAAACACCAAAGGCCAATTACCACATGTTGTTGTGCATTTGTAGAATACAGACATAAAATGATGATGATATGTTAATGATGATAGTTATGGTAATAGAACATGAATGTAAAATAACTTTAAAATAGGATCAGCAGGATCCTATTTATATATGAGGAAAAGATCTACTTTAAATCTCATTAATCAACTCAATCCTCTGCTTTCATACTAATTATCTAATCACAAAACTGTCAATTTATAACTTGTTTCATCTAATAGAATATGAAATCATACATTCGATATAAATTAATAGTTTTCTATTCAAGAGAATGGATTACACAACTATTATTTGTAATTTTAGACACAGAACACTTACACCAGTAAAAGAGACTGCTACATTATAAAATTCTTGCACATCTTCATATTGCTAGGCATTTTCAGGTCATGTGACTGGTAATGAAAAGTAATGAAAAGACCTGGCTCCTACTACAGCTTTAGGACCCTCCATGCTCTGTATTTTTCTCCCAGTAAGGTAGAAAGATCAACCTAAGACTCAAAGGCCTTAAAATATGATAGGAGCCACTATTTAGAAGAAACCTGGGCTGCTTGAACATCCCATGAACAGTGAGATAATTAAAATAATTTTTTAATTAAAAAAATAAAAATAAACCCCCCTTCCCTTTATAGGGACACTGAGAACACAAATGAATTCTTCATTGTAACATGTACATAAATACAACCTAGGTAAGTATAAGTTACATTATGTAAGAGATGTGATTTCACTTGTTCCATCCATTTTATAAATTGAAAAGTTTTTAATAATTTTTTTCTTCTTTCTTCTTTATTCTAAGTTGAAAGTTAAAGCAAGAAAAAGAACTTCAGTAGTTTATGATATGTATTTATAGTTTGAATTTTGAACCCATTTTTGGAAGCTTCCTAGGAAATGTTTCCTGCCAACTTGAAGAAAATTTAAATAGAAAATGTAAGTTGTCATAGCTTACTTGTAGACTTATTACATGCAGTTCTGATCAAGCACACTCAGGAACAAAAACAAAACAACATCCTTAACACATACAGCTCCAATTATGCAGGAAGGCTCTCAGTCAGTCCTGGATTATCAGTTTTATTTAAACTCTGCATCCTGAGCATTCACAGTGCCCTCAGTGGTGGGCTCTCTAAAACCTTATACCAATGGATACAATAGGTCTACTGTACCTTGAATGTCTGTAAATTTTTCCTAAGAAAATGAAGCTATAAAACCTAGTAAGAAGAAGTGAATTGGTTTGATAACCTTCTAACAAAAAGAAAAAAAAAGGTAAACACAAAAAATGGTAAAACACTATGCAATTATTTATAGCAACAATAATAGCAATATAATAATTGTAACAGTAATAATGTTCAGTGTTGTTATTATGATCCGAACTATTCTGGTTCCAGAACCTGGTCCTTCCACTCCCTTCTCTGTGTTTCATCAAAACATACTTTGTTTTGAAACCTGCTACCACTAATTACACTAAACATTAATTCAGTTCATTGCCTAAATTTTGAGAAATATTCTTATTTTGCTTTAATTTGAACATTTTTTTTCTAGAACTACCATTAATCAGACTGAACATCTTGCATATAGTGCCAAGATTAAGAATACATCTTTTGTTTCTTTTATGACCATATCAATATATTTATGACTATACTCTATATAACAATCTCTGCTTTCTAAAATTATATAATATTGATACAATATGGGGTTTTTTTTGACACAAAGTCTTGCTATGCAACCCAAGCTGGCTTGAACTCTGGATCCTCCTGTTCAGCCTACCACATGCTGGGATTATAGGCACCACTATTCCTGGCAATTCATCATCTTTTCAAGGTAGTAGTAAGTCCTTTCAAGTGTAAGAGAAAATAAAATTTCCAGCTATGATTTTTTAAATTAACAAAACATTTATTTCCAAAAACAACTGAAATTAATATGTATATGTAATTCTTTAGTTTTATCTTTTTAAATTACTTTTAAGTGGAAGAGAATCTTTAAAACATGATATACAGATATACTTGATATATTCTATATAAAACTATAAATCATCATTTAAAAAAGTCCTGGAAAAATGGATGTCAGCATCAGGTACCATACCACCGCAGAGATAAAAAGCAGGCATGTAAAAGAGCTTTTCCTGATAAGTTTACTCAGAAAAATGAAGCATCAGGAAAAAATAAAATCTTTTATAGTCCACAAATACCATTCATGGAAAATTTTTGCACCATGAGAGTCTGAGACTTACTAGAAAAAGTGGTAAAATAGGATTAGTTAATAACCCATAAATTAGATTATAGCTGATTAATTCATCTTAAAAGAAGCTACAAACTGCCATTTGCTAATATTATCCCCAAAACACTTTAAACACATCTTAGGACCAGTATACAAAATTTCACAACAAAAACTAAAAAAAAAATCTCACAAAGTTTAATCAGAAATTATAACTCAATATAAGTATATGAAATGTACTATTATCAGATCTTCAAGATTATATCATATTATCTTTACTGCTTTTTTTTTCTGGTTTTATTTTGCAGGGAGGCGGGGGGCGGTTCTTAGAGAGAAGGAAGGTGCCAGTATTATGGATTGAACTCAAGGCTTCCAGCTCTGGTTCAGATTTCTTGCTCATGGCTGGAGATCTACCGCTTGAGCCACACCTCCAGTCTGATATTTTACTGGTTAATTGGAGAATAAAGATGGAGTGTTGCAGACTTTCCTGCCCAGGCTAGTTTTGAACCATGATCTTCAGTACTTACTCATGAGTAGCTAGGATTATAGCTGGGAGCTACCAATACCCAATGTTTGTTTTTTGACATTTCAAAGATTAAAATCAAGAATTCTGACCATTAACTACCCTGTCAGGCCTTTATAATCCCTAGCTAATTAACTATTTTCAAAATCCATCCTAGAAAACATATGCAGTATTTCTTACTTTGAATTCTACCAAATTTTACAAAAAAAAAAAGCGGTATACTACGCATTCTTAAGTGTTGTTAGTGGCATCAAAAATAAATTAACTATTAATTACTGCCTCAAAAAATCAGAGGTCAAAGACACTAGAAGTTAAATATTACCCTCAACTAGTTCTAATTCCCAGTCCACCTACTTTCATCATCAACTCTTTCGATGTTGAAGGCTCTACTATGCTGATTCAAACTTAGTTGCTGTTCATGAAGGTCCACAGGTACAGGGTTTATGCCAGTCCCTTCAAGGTATAACCTGATACGCTGCCTCCACAACCACCTTAGAAAAGTGAAGGAAAAGAAGGTAATGTCAAAACAGAATACACTAAAGATAATACATTATCATAACTTCATCAAATAAAAAGCACATATTACAAAGCTAGTTGTTCTACAAATAATTATATCAGAAAAACTTTAAATCCACAGGTTCTTGCTAAAGACAGATTGGGATATTTCTTCCTCTTTCAGCTATAATGGATATATCCCGTGTTTGTACAAAACTTCCAAAGACACTTGAATATAAGCTAAACTTTTCATCCATAACCCTTTGTAGTCCAAGATACTGAGCTAGAGCTAAGCTTATGTTTTACTCACCAAAAAAATATTATACAAAAAGTATCATGAAAATACGATCTTGTTAAGGTGAGTGCAATAAACAAAAATCTCCACAATATTTTATAAAGATGGTGCCTTTAAAATTAATAAAGATATTAAGAAAAAAACATTTTATTATACCTAAATATCTAAATGGTATTTTTTATAAAAGTAAATAAAAAGAAGTTATATGTAGGTTTAAAAGTAATATCAATAAATCAAAAACTCATGAAACAGATATGCAAAAATATAATCTTACTTAGTGATCATGTTAGTCATTTCTAAAAATGACAAACTTCTGAGGTGAAACTGAAGATACTGGCAGTAAAGTGATTAAAGAAAAGTCAAAATTTTGGAGATCCAACTACAAAGGAAGAAAAACATGTAATGTTCTACAGTACAGTAAGATAACCATACTGATCAAGATTTAATGAATGTTCCAAAATAGAAGATTTTTTTTAACATTTCCAAGTGCAAAAACCAGATAAATGTCTGAGACGATAAACACATTAAATTTCCTGAAATGATCATTATACATTGTATACATGTTCTGAAATGCAACACTGTATAAGCATAATTACTATGTATCAAAATAAAACTAAATCCTTAAAATGATGTAATATACTTTCACAAATATCTGGCAAAGGCCTCCTCAAGCTATAAAAAGTAGCTAAATTCGGCTTTCATATTGGCCCAGCTATATCTCACCTTTTGCCTCTACTTTCTCCATTTATGATGATCTGAAAACAGTGAATCATACCTGTAACTTGGGAGGCAGAAATCAGGAGACCATAGTTCAAGGCCAGCCTAGGCATAAAGAGAGACTCTACCTCAAAAATAACAAAAGCAAAAAGGAATAAGGATCAAGTGGTAGAGCACTTTGCTAGGCAAGTCTGAGGACCTGAGTTCATCCTCAATACCACAAAAATAATAATAGTAGTAGTAGTAATAATAATAATAATTTAAATTTTAAAGAATAAACAATCCCATCCACACTGCTTTAGAAAGACTTTATAAGTGCCATGTGCTGGTGGCTCATGCCTGTAATTCTAGTTACTCAGGAGGCTGAGATCTGAGGATCACAGTTCAAAGCCAGACTGGGCATGAAAGTCGGAGATTCCTATCTCCAATAAACTAAGAAAAAGCTAGAAGTGGAGCTCTGGCTCAAGTGGCAGAATGCTAGCTTTGAACACAGACAGGCTCAGGGACAGAGCCCATGCCCCAAAACCAGCAAAAAAAAAAAAAAAGACTTTGTATATAAGACAGATACCTATCAACCATACTCCTGGTATTTGACTTACAGATGTAGGCTTTCTTAAGCAGTGGGGATAGAGTGAACAGAGGGTTAGATATAAGACAGCTAAGTGTGACTACTTTTTATAGTTTGAAGAGGTTTTTAACCCAGAAATCTGTGAAATTGAATTAAATCTTTTAAAAGATATGTTTTTATTTTTACTATTCTTCCTTCATTAATTACTAGATAAGGGATTGTGTATAAAAGTTATAAGATCTCAGAATATGAACTAGCAACTTTCTACTAAACAGCTAAGGACATACTCCGAAGTTAAGAGAGTAACTCACTGAAGAAAAATCTGTTTGAAACCATAACTCAAATAACATTTGTCCAGGTTTCTTCACCTTATTCCAACTGTACTAGGTGAAGGTAAGGCAGATGGGTTTGGGCCTCAGCTAATGTATCAAATTTTATTGCTTCTGTTGTAACTAAGGAGTAATCCAAATGTCTAGACATTCTGGCTTTAGTAGCACTAGTGGCATATGCTTATTAAAAGTATAATTCTTTTTAAATTGCAAGAAATTCCTACCTGAACTCACCACGATAGAACTTCTGTAAGGCTTCTGGGAAGGAATGTGTATACCGAACAGGAAGACACAAATGACCTTCAGACCTTTATTGTAAAAGAAATTTTTGGGTGATGAAAGAAGGATATAATATAATTAAAAACATCTCTAAATTATAAAAATCAGAGGAAATTTCAAATTTTCTACTCTATACTTCATTTTTTGCCATAAATTTTGTTTTTTTCAGTAAGAACAAAAAACAACCGAAGAGAAATAATAGTTTACTTCCAACTATAATAAGCAATATAAAATAATACTGTTTCCACATTATAGTAAAACTAAAAATAACAATAAGCCTACAGATTATTTTGTAAATTTATCTCATTATTAATAACTGGATATAATCTAGTTATAAATTAATTAGCTGTTACCTTTGGACAAGTCCTTTTATTATCAATTTTCTTATTTCTGATTAAATCACCAACCATGAGTGGTTATTCTAAGGAATAAAAGTATTTATGTGAAAGTATAAGCCCTTCTTACAAGCCCTTTAAGATATCCTTAAATGAAACAAGTACTGACAATGGTTAATTCCTTCATTTATTTATATCACAGATGCCATTAAAGGACAAATTAGAACAAATCATTGCAAATTGTAAGATGGTAAGATTCCCTACTTCTATAGAAAGAAAAAACATATTATACTTAATGATATCTAGAAAAGTTAATCATTATAATTTATATAATTCTCTGGTACAAAAGGAAAAATGAGGGTAGATAATAAATGTAGTTACCAGAAACAAAAGTTTTACAAAGTTATAACAACTACATTTATCTACAACTTCTACACTATGTGGTCCAGGATGGCCTCAAGCTCTTGATTCACCTGCCTCAGCCTTCTAAGTGCTGTAATTACAGAAGTGAATCACCATCTCAACCTATTGGGGTTTTGTTGTTTTGTTTTGTTTTTAGTATTAACTGTTAGTATTTTACAACAGTAAGTCTATGTGGTATCAACAATCATTTGATAAAAATAGTATCTTCTGAGGCTACTGCAAGTCTAATACACTGTAGAAAATGACCTCTCATGAAGTTTCTATTGGCTTGAGCTGCAGCAGGCTTCTGAAGGCTTAGCTTGGCTAACAAGGTTGCTCAAGGATGGCAATCTAATGCTGCCTATTGGCAGGAGGCCTCCATTCCTCTCCATGTGAGCCTTTTCAATTGCTGCTTCAGTGACCTCATATCATGTGACAGACAGTCCTTAGAATGAGTAATCCAAAAGGAAAATTCAGAAGCTGCATTATATCATTATGACCTGGCCTTGGAATCTTCACATTGTCACATCACATGTGATCACACTATGTCCCATGGGGACAGGGGAGGAGCACAGAGCCACATCCATGGATAAATACTAGAGGTGACCTTGGAGGCTGGCTTCCACAGAGCTCTATCCAGTAATATTGAACAGTAAGCATTCAAATGTCAATTTACCAGCCTCAACAGAGGAGGCATGCAATAGAGAAGAAAAGGACATACAGTGAAATGGCATATTCATTTGGATGAGCCTGTGTGAGTGAGCCATCTGGAAATAGAGGCTCCAGTCCAAGGGAACTCTTCAGATGCCTGCAGCCCAGCTGACTCCTGATGGAAGTTCATGACAGATTCCAAGCCAAAACCATACAGATAAGCTACTACTCAATTCCTGACACAAAGAAACCACAAGAAAGAAATCATCATTACTATTATTTGAATCCTCAATGTTTTAGAATGGTTCATTACATAACATTTGATAATACTACAGAAGAGGAGGATCCACAGTACTGCTTAAGGAAACACAAAGCAACCTACTAGGAGGCCTAATACACCTAGCTGGATGGAAGAAAACAAAGAACTTCCAAAATGCTATTCTACATGGAAAACAGGAAAGATAGAACTGTATCAAGTCTGCTCACCAATTTCAAAATCCCCATAAGTTTGTGAACATGAAGCTGGGTTTTTTTTTTTTTTTTGGGGGGGGTCTGGTCGTGGGGCCTGAACTCTGGGCCTGGGCGCTGTCCCTCAGCTCTTCAGCTCAAGGCTAAGCTCTACCACTTGAGCTACAGCGCCACTTCTGGCTTTTTTCTTTTTGCTTATGTGGTGCTGAGGAATCGAACCCAGGGCCTCAGGCATGCAAGGCAAGCACTCTACCACTGAGCCACCTTCCCAGCCCCTGAAGCTGGTTTTTTTAAGGAAAAATATAGCCCAATAAATTATCAAGTATGATCAAAAAAGTATCTCTTCTCTTAATGATATATAGTCTATTAAATTCTAAACTCCAAATTTTGAAGGCAACCGAAAGTTAATTACTGAACCAATGATTGCATAGAATATTTAACTAAGTCAAAGTCCTAGGCCTGCTCTCTAAACTCATTTAACATTTTTCAAATGTTTATTATCTACTGACTGTATGTAAAACTATGCTAGGGATAGAGAAACTCATATATAAGGTTAGAGCTCAAAACTGAGAGTTCAACAAGAACACAAAGAAGCAGAAAGGCATAAGAGCTCTGTGCACAGGTAGGTACAGTCAGAGCCCAGGACAGGCAGAGAGACTCAAATGAACAAGAATTACTACAGTAAAATTTTACATTCCATCTTAAAGGAACGTTGACAGTAGGCTTGGCAGAAGCACATTTTAAAAGCATGCAACAAACATGGGTCTTCTAGAACACTCTCTCTAAATCATGCACTATCTTACATGTCAACAAATCTTCTCATCAGAGCAAGAGCATCCCCCAACTATGGTATTAGTAGCCAGCAGATGCTCATACAGTGCAATTCTGCACAAAGCCTTTAGGAAGGATTCTAGGCTATCTTAAAAGGAAGTGTCTGTGTGTGTAAGTGTGCATGCATGCACATGTATGTATGTGTGTGTGTTCTAGTGCAAGGGTCATTTTTCCTGAAGAATGTACAAGACCTGAAGACTCCATGGAAACCAGAAGAACAGAAAAGCAGTAGATGGTGAAAGATCACATATATTAACTAAGGATTTGCACTGGATTCTAAAGATCATGGATGAACCATAAAAGACTGTATAGTGCAAATACTTCCTAGAGTACAGATTTATGGAAAGATAAGAATAAAAGATGGGGAGATACTGGGAGGTATGGCAGTAATTCAACCACTAACATTTGTAAAAGCCTTAGCTACATTTATTGACAATGAAGATGGCAAGCAGTGGACTGCATGGTAGAATTCCTGGAACACAGAACTAGTTTCATAACAAGGTGAGGGAAGGGAAGTCACATCAGCAGCACAGGTGAATCATGAAGAATGAGGCGGGTAAAAAAAAAAAAAAAATCATTTATAGGTATGTTGAAATTTCAAGATGTCATGAATGCCAAGGCAGTACAGATATAATAAGGGAGATGTTATCATTAAAAGATTCCCAGAAATCAAGTAATGCAAGAACTACAATGTCCAAACTAAAATGTGGTAACTAAGATAGCACTGGTCGAACAGTTCGGTGGAAAATCTTGAAGATACCAAGTGGCAGTAAATGGAAAAAGAGAAAACAGAAATACCAAATTTGGAGTCAGGAAAAGGGTCAGTAACAGACACAGGGTAAAGCATTAATAAAATATTCTTAAAAGATTACTGTCTTGAAGACTTTACACCAAAAGGAATCACATGTAAAGAAGGGGGAAAGGTAACAAATAATAGAAAAGGAGGTTTTTACGTGGGAGAAAAGTTAAAGCAAGTTCTAATCGGTTGCTTTTCATTTTTTCTGTGAGAAGCAGGCCTTATTGAAGGAAGGAGGATAAGGGTGCTAACAGTACTCAAAAGTTGAACAGATATACTTAAAAGCAGCAACCACAAGGAATGGAAAAGAGAGATAACCAGGGCTACCAGTATAAGAGCTACTCTAAAGAAATTGTTCCAATTGCTGGAGACTACAAATTAGAAATGCTATCAAACCCAAAATTCCTACTCTATGTTTCCTCAGATGACTTTTTCAAAGCTAATATAATAGTAGAAATTATGACAGACTAATCTGGGATTGACCATATGATATGATTTTGAATATTTAAAAATCAAGGAAGTAAATAAAGGGAAAGAAGAATTAAGTGAATGCACTCACTCAATTGGCAGACCTACTGGGATGAAAGGAGTAAGACTGCTGTTAAAGTAGGAGGATGTCAGTAAAATTAAGACTGTAGAGATAGAAAAATTCCAGGTGACTATATGGTCCAGATAAAAGTTGTAGCTGTGAATGGCTGGAAAAAAAAAGTAAGGGTGATTATCAACAAATCAAGGAAAGAAACAGTATTTCACTAAGTCTACTCATTAAGTCAATGATGTCATTCTGAAAAACCAATACAGGTCCAACCAGGCTTTCCTTCTTATGGCAGCCATAAGAATGATTATCATTACTTCTTCCCTCTTCAATGACACTAAAGAGCCCAATACTCATGTGGTTAGGGACTCATCTAGTCTGCCTCAGATCCTATTCCCAAAATGCTTAGACAGCTAAGTGTGAGGGCTGCTCCACACCATGACATAATTTTCTCCATTGATGCCAGTAGATGGATGTATATTTTTATGCTTGAACTAGAAATTCAAGCTGTCTGTAAAACAATCACATTGAAGAAAACCCTATTATAGGTAGTGATTAATAATACCTACCAAATTTCCATCACTGAATGGCTTTTGGAACATTCACAACATTCCTGAAACAATAGTGCCTCCACTCAAATGTCATGTACCACAGTTAAAACCCTGTAGCAACAAGTGCCCAGCAATGTACTACAATAGACAAAATGAAAAATAACTTCCAAATTTTAGGATTTATCATAGATATCATACAAAGCAAAACAGAAATGCCTATATGAATACACACAAACAGAAAATCCAAAACTAGCCAGGCACAGGTGGCTCACACCTGTAATACTAACTGTTCTAAAGACTGAGATCTGAGGGTCACAGTTTGAAGCCAGCCATGAGAGGAAAGTCCATGAGACTCTTATCTCCAATTAACCACAAAAGAGAGCTATCCTCAAGTAGTAGAGCCTTAGCCTTGAGCAAAAAAGCTCAGGAACAGTCTTGAGTTCTAGCCCAGGACCAGCACAGACACACACACAGACACAGACACACACACAGACACACACACACACAGACACACACACACACAGACACACAGACACACACACACACACACACACACACACACACACACACACACACACACAATATCCACAAATAAAACACAAAATAAGAACAAGCTTCTCACCGATCTGGATCCGTATTTACTCCTATAACTGGTTTAAGTCTGTCCAAGACTTTACTTGCGGCCAGAAGCATAGTGCCATCACCTACAGGACACAGGACAAGAATAACACATAATCAGGGCTGGGAAGGTGGCTCAGTGGTAGAGTGATTGCCTTGCATGAATGAGGCCCTGGGTTCGATTCCTTAGCACCACATAAGCAGAAAAAGCCAGAAGTGGCGCTGTGGCTCAAGTAGTAGAGTGCTAGCCTTGAGCTGAAGAGCTGAGGGACAGCACCTACGCCCAGAGTTCAGGCCCATGACTGACACAAAAAAAAAAATTAAAAAAAAAAAAAAAAGAATAACACATAACCAGCCCGCTATTATAAAATTAAACATCATTTTAAAAACTTGTCCTTTTATTTCAACAATCACACTACTTCCTGCTGACTGCCATAGCCTCCGCTCATCTTTTCTATTAACATCATATTATCTCATTATCAGTGTCACTGTTTCACAGAAAAGTATCTTTGTTATGGAGGCTGTTCTGTGAATTGTAGAATGTTTGGCAATCTCTGGTCTCTACCCACTAGATGTCAGTAATGCCACCTAATTTAGATCTGATTTTGTAAAGATGAGAATCAATGCATTAATCTTAAAACCTCTCTTTCCTTTTTCTATAATATCAGACCAAATCCATAAGCTATTTTAGTAAGAACATATCCAACCACGTCCAGCTTCAGACTGTTCTCCCCAAAAACTAGTTAAAGCTTTACGAAGAAGGATAACTAACAATAATATAATTCAAAAAAGATATTGGGGATAGACTATGTATTTATCCAATCATATTAAACTATTATCTTCAGTATGTTTTTCATCCTTTTGTAATTACAACTAATCTCTTCAATTATATTTGAATTTAAAAGCATAGCTTAAATATATAGAGACACAGACACATGGAACCTTAACATTTCATTCATTATAAACAAAATAAATCTGTTTGAAAACTAATCCTATTTGAAAGCCTCAAAATAGCTAGACACCAGCATAAATGAAAAGACCATGTACTGAACCACATTTCAACATCCCAACATCTTTATCTCTATAAAACAATTACCTCCTGCAGCTATTACAGCATCTGCCCATCGAACAGACTCTTCACCATAGTCTCTCCTTTTTACTAGACGAACCTCAATTCCTTCATTCCTAAAATAAAAGTTTATATAAAATTTCCACTGAAAACATACATAATAAGGTTATGTTTACTGAAAGATTAGTACAATAGAAATGTAAATCAGATATACGTCACATAAACAAATTTAAGGATAGCTTTGTAAAGTTAGCTTCATTTTCATTTAATTACAACAGTCAATTAACTGACAGGTCAGGAGGCATATGAATAAACTGAAAATAAATATCCAAATTTTCATGTGATTTAAAACAATTTTATAACCACTAACAGCAAAATTGATTGGCTAAAATTTCACTTTTTTCTACTCCTTCTGATTGTAAAATGTATTAATACAAAATGGTTCAGATTAGCATTATATAATTTATATTATAAAATCAAACAGCAGTTATTTCTAACCCAACAAATATTGAGTGGCAGACAATGAACCAGTGAGTTCAACACTTAGTAATTTGTAAATTTTTTTATTGTCTTGAATATACATGTACAATTTATTTGATGACTGCACTTAGTCACAAATCAACTAAAATTTCTTAACAATAATTCATATACACTCGATTATAATGGAAATCAATATAATTTTCTATTGTTTTAAAAAATAAGCATAACAAAATAATTAATGAGGGATGGGGTAACAAGTTCAACAAGAAATGTACTCACTACCTTACTTATGTAACTGTAACCCCTATGTATATCACCTTGACAATAAAATTAAAAATTAAAATTAAAAAATACTTTGCACAATAAATAAGTAAAAAGAACAAAAGAAAGAAAGAAACATACACATACAGTTGAAGGCTGCTGTGTACTGAATTCACTGTTTGCAGAAAAGGTACTTCTATGGCAGACAAAAAATACTGTGAAAATACCGTGAAATTTCCAGAGCACAGTAAAAATTTCCTTAGAAAGTTGTAAAACTAGTCAATTAATTCTGAAAATGATTTAATAATGACAATCTTACTAAACATTAGCTACTAAAACTAAATAAAGTGGAAAGTCTTGAATATAAAAGCCCACCCAAGACACTATCTCACTATCCCTCAGACTTACCGTAAACTATCTATAATATGTTCCACATTTTTGGTGTGAATATGATGTCGTTCCAGTAGTCCACTGTAGCTAGAACCTTTTAATGCAAGCTAAGGCAAGAAAAGAAACATTGTTTTACTATGTGAAATATATTGTTATACTTACTATGTCATTATAAAAGCTTTATGTATGAAGTAAATTTTAGTGACTACTGGTGATACCTAGAAGTTCATATTAAACTATAAAGTCTGACTTTAGAAAATCGTATTTTAGTTATAATATCAAAGATAGCATTAAGTCTGAGTCCTGAGTCAGTGGGATATGACTGTTTAAACCTTAATGTTTTAAAGCTTAAGGGTTTGAACCTTTTTCAATTTTTAATGATTTTTTTTTTACACATTGCTACTTCAAAGCTGAAGATCAACTCATAACTAATATCATTAGCGACTGTTAGATTACCTTTGTTCCACTTGGATTTGCTGGGCTCTGTTTGGAATTTACCTAGGCAATCTAAACAAAGTGCTGGTAAGCTCTCTGAAAAAGGATAACTTTAGATATATAGTCCATGCTATATGAGACTATGATATATATTTTCTTTCAAGAATTATTTTGCCTAATTGATTACAGTTACATTATTATCTGACCATGAATATTCTCCTTTTATAAACTATATGCCTTCTAAACTATCCATAAAGTAAAATGTTGAGAGTGAAACTGTAATACAGTATCAGTGAACATTTAATTATCAAGCAGGGAATTTATCCACTGGAAGGAAATGTTAGGAGAATTGAAAAAGAAGTTATTTACTTCTTTTCCAAATTCTTTTATTTTCCATTTTATGATATGAATCAATTTTTCAAGAACTTGTCCAATATAAAATATTAAATACATTTTTATTTTCAATCACTACTTCTTGAAGTAAAATTAACTTCTAATTTGAATTTTTAATATGTATTTTACTCCTTACAGGTTAGAAAGATAACAAGATAAAAATTAAAATTAAAATCAAATATAATAAATCTAAGATAGTTAATATTTAAAACCTACCTTCCTAGCCTTTTTTTTTCTTATGATTAATGGTATAGAAAATCACTTTAACCTCACTCCAGTCAAGAGCTGAGAAAACATTAAACCACTGTAAAAATTAATAAGGATGTAAAAGTAGATCAGATGGCCCATATAATTTCTTCTTTAAGCCTCATTATATTTAGAGCAAATGTCAAGAATTGTTTAAAAGGAAAGCAGTGACCACTGAATAAGCCTTCATTTATTTTCATCAATGTAACTCAAGTTTGAAAAAGTATTCTTACAGCAGAATTTCTGACTATGAATACATATACCTTTAACATTCAGGTTATTACTATCACTGCTCAGGCCCAGTTTAACTGAGGCAGCACTAACCACCTCTCAAAGAATGTGAGCCATAGAACATCTCTACTCTTCCCCTCTATGATATCTAGTTTCCAAGATTTAAAAGAGCTCTATGAGCAAATGCTGATGATTCCCCAACAGCATCTCAGCCCTCTAAGGACTCAGAATGAATTTACCCAACTATCTATTTGATATCTTTCTTTGGATGTTTAGCAAGCTTCTCAAATTAACATCTTAAATATCAAGCTCTTAATTTGCTACTCCAGGACTTCCCCTCATCTATGGCTTAAGCCAAGTCATCTGGACTTAATGCCTACTTTTCCCTTATTCCTACACCTAGTCTCTGAGTCCTGGATCAGATCTACAAGTGTCTTTCCTTCACAACCACTACATATGACTCACATTTGGACTACTGCACAAGGTTGTAAATCAGGGATCCCCATTTCTACTCTTGTTCCCTACAAGTGTAATCCCACACAGGGATCCAGAGTATGTTTCTCTCACTTTATCACAGACCTTTCCACCAATTCTCCAGAGGCCTGACTTCAGCTCCCTCTTCCTACACTTCATGTTTTGTCTCGATCCTTACCTCTAGTCTCAAAGTCCTACTTTCACCAAGCTTCTTCCTGTGCCCTTGCTGTAATGCATCCCCTCTCTCTGCACAACTCTGACTCTTCTCAGCCTTGGGGCAGGATGACCTGACCATGGTAACAGCGCTGGTGATGGACTGGGGCTGTCAAGGTTGCTACAGTCACCACCGTCACCACCATCACCACCACCACCACCCTACCCAATATTGTTCATTTCCTTCATTGCATTTACCATGCCTGAAACTATTCATTTTACTTTTTTTTTTATCTATTTGTGTCGCCTAACTAGAATATGAGTACCTGGAGAGCAGTGATCTCACTTTGCTCACCAAGTACTCGCAAGGCCTAGGTACTAGATAAGTATTTGTTCAAGGAATCCATTCACCCAGGGTTCAGTTGTTCTTTTTTTAAAAGGTGTTGCTGTGCTAGGGATGTTTCAGAAAAGCAATAACAGTGAATAAGCAGGTTCCAGAGAAGATAACCCAGCTAAGTGACAGTGACAAGCCATCCCTGCCTGATCAAAACTGAACAGAGGCAGACTATTGTTACAGTTACAGTAACTACTTTTCATGATCACACTTTAAGAATGCGCATTTTACAAAGCTAGAGATTAAGACTTATCTTTAGTTATTAAAAAATCAATACTTGGTTTTCGACAAGCTCTAGGAAATAATGATACTCAGTAGTTAATATTAGGAAAATTTAGTTCTCTAGTATGGTAAAGGGGTTAGAATTTGTGGAGGAATAGATTTAAATTTTAAAATGTCATTTCCTATTATTGTAACATTGAAATTCCTAAAATTCCCAATCTAAACATAAAGTTCACATAGTATCTGAAAATATTCAGCATAAGAAAAGGTCACTTCATAAATTCTTATTCTCACTCAAATTTATTCCAATAACTTATGGCAAACACTTATTTAGAGCATAAAAGTTTTATGTTATTTTGTCAGAGCTCTGACTTATTGGATGACTGGACTTCATTAACAAAGACTCGCCAGAAAGGTAAGAGATGAAGTTATGTATGAAAATCACTTAAATGGCATCAATTAAAAAGTCCTATATCATTAATTAACTGGTCCTCATGTTTGTATAGTTTACAAAAGCTGGTAAAAATCTGTCCCTGAAAATAACATGACATTAAACATCTAAAAGCATACCTTAATCAAAAAAGCCCACACACATTATATATAGATATGTTCATATATGTCTATATCTGTATATACATGTATATGCACATATGTATTATTTATGTATACACACCTTTTTGGTGCAATACTAGGGTGTGAATCCACCACTTGAGCCACTCCTACAGCTTACACACAAATTCTTATAAAATGTTTTACAATTTAAAAGTTAGAGAAACTTAGAATGCATTTTCAATTTACAGTGTTCTACATTAGATATTAAGCTTTTTTTCAAAAACTTGTTAATTCTCTTCACTGCAAAAATAGATTATTCAATAGAACACTGAGGGAAAACAGGTGAATCTAAAAAAAAAAAAATCACCCACAGTATAACCAAAAGTTTCACTTACAAATACTGCCAAAAGCCAACATCTCTCCTTACTACATAGCCCTAAAGTGAAAACAGTATGAAAGGAAGAATGTACTCTCTACGATGAAAGACTTACATTTTAAGATCAGGTGATAGTCTATTCTCTAAATAGTTTACAACATTTATTACATTTTACTTGGCCCACATTGAATTTATTACCATTACGAATTCTTAAAACTTGTTTTACCAGTCAGTTGAGTGTTATGTGTTATTATTTCGTACTTTGTAAGATTTCCATGGAAGCTGTCTTCTGAAAATACAACTTGAAAGAAATGCACAAACATCTGAGATTATGACAGTCTGCTATGTAAACTTACGAGGCATAATTTAAGCATGCTTAAATGGTATTCCATTTCTCAAAATTGCCTTAAAAGAGTTAGTAGTACCAAAGTAACAGCCAGAAAGTCAACTATTCACCAGTCATCTATTCACTTCTCATGATCAGACCTGGAGCACTGACTCCTAGAGATTCCTTCAGATATAGATGATATTTGCCTTGGAGCATTTCTCATCTACCTACTCCTTCTCGAAGACCTTGCCTTCCCTTTTTCCAGTCTTCCATTTCTCTTTCTGTATTTTTTGTTGATGTTAATTATTTACTTCCAGCCTTGCACATTGTCATTGCTCAGAGTTCCATCACGGCCTTTCTTATCTACCAAGCATGAGCAAGTAACTCTGAAACCTATGCTGGTCCTCAAGCCTCGCTTGAGCTTCAACTGAAATATTCAAGCGCCTTCCTTTAAATTATCTACAGGTCAGCCTGGTGCCTGTGAGAGGATCTAAACTTGACTGTACTTTCCTCCTTCAAATGTGCTCTCCTGATATGTATGTATTTACGTATATATACATAAATATGTATTTTTGCCTGTTAATACTAGCACCAGGGCCTTATTCAACAGAATAAACCCAGTTGTCATCTTTTATTCTTTTTTGTTTTGTTTCGTTTTGTGGGGCTTAAACTCAGAGCCTGGGCAGTGTCCCTGAGCTTTTGCACTTAAGGATAGCACTCTACCACTTTGAGCCACAAAGCACTTGTACGGCCTCAAAATATTTACTCATGAGTAATGATTTTCAAACTGTCCTTACAATGCCTTGTAAGCTGGTTACAAATACAGCCAGCATTTCTATTAAATGAAAAACACACAATACATATTAAGGCTAAAATGTTCTCCAGTTATCTTTTATTTTAAATATTAAGTACTGAGTCTCGATATTTCTGAGTGTAGATCACAGAAAAATTTGACTTTTTGTCAACTGTAAGATAACCTTCACTTGTCTTCCTAGTATTGTTTCAGATCTCGAGCTACTGAGTAGCTAGGATTACAGGTATGAGATACTGACACCAGGAAAAATTCTTCTGCATTCTGAAACACTTCAAATATCCTAAAAATAAAGATCTAATTTCATTTCTATTATATTGGCAAAAATGGTAAAATTTACCAACTGCTGACAAAAATATAGAGGTTCAAGCATTTATTCAATGCTAGAGAAAGTATATTTTTTCTATGTGCTTTTCCTTTGAACTAGGAAAACAATCTAATTGTCCAAATAGCAGAATGCTACACAAAAGTAAAATGCATTAATACATATGA